ATTAATTCCTTCAACACATCTCCATGGAGCGCCTGGCACCGAGCTGGGTGTGGGGACGTGGAGATGGGCGACAGGGCCTTCGCAGGCCTGTGGGGAAGGACAACAAGGACAACCTAGGACAGATGGCATCCCCGGGTGGCAGGTGATGCAGAGGATGCGGGTCGCCATAAGGAAATTTAAAAAAGAGATAAATGAGGGGGTGTGGGGTGGATAGGTCTACTTAGGGCGGGGGGAGGCTAGGAGGAAGGTTTCTTTGAGGAAGTGACACTGAGCTGAGCAAGAGAGACATGAAGACACACAGAGGGCTGGAGGGGTCAGCAGGGCAGGGCCTGTGGCCTGTGGCCCTGTGGGTGGGAGTTTCAGCCTCAGCCTCAGGCCACGGGAGCCACTGGACAGTATCGTGTGGGCACTGAAGCAGGTAGAGTGCCTCACAAGCACCTCCGAGGTCTGTCACCCTGGCCTTTGCAGCTCCCACCAGTCCAGGAGGTCGGGCTGCCAGATTGCAGGCCCCAAGCTCTGTTGGGGGGTGGGTGACTCCTGCATGTCCCCACCGCGCCCCCCAGTGGGAGGGGGGAGACAGGCTTAGGAGCTCGAAACTGCCAGACACTAGGCCCCTCAGTGGTCTTCGCAGCGATCCTTTCCCAGCGACTCTTCTCTTCTAGGATCACATCGGGCTCCTTGGACAGTCCTTCTACCACCGAAGCCAATCCCGAGGGGCAGTGCGCCTCGACGGGCTCCGACCAGGACCCTGGGGAAGACAGAGAAGGCAGCCCCGTCTGGGGCAGCAGCCCCTTCCAGCTCCCGGCTTCCTCGGATGAAGACATCATCGACTTGAAGTAAACAGAGTCCAAATCGAGTTTTCCACCTTTCGTTTTCTTATGGACGTTTATACTTTCACCAGTTCTGACATCATTTCCCAACAGCGCGGCGTCCAGCCTGTCCGCGATCTATTGGACCAAACCTCTGCCGCTCGCCAGTCCGGGTCGGTCTCTAGTGCCCAGTGCCGTCTCTCTCGACCTTGGTTTCTTTCTGTGCAGGAACCATCAGTCCCCTTGTAATACAGGTGGTAGATTTCATTGAGGTTTTAGATTAAAACTTTGAATAAATCAAAAATGTTCACTCTTTCTATGGCAGCCTTCTCTTATATTTTATATACTTAGGTGGGAAAATTATTTTTTTCATGTCCTAGAATGTGTTTCTTTTACAAAGAAAAGCCATTGCTTTTTAAATGTATTATAAATAAGTTTTCTTTCTGCACCTCTGGCCCAATGACTGCTTCAGGTCCCTGTCACCGACACCAGCCCCATTCCTGCCCCTGGACTCTTGAGAAAAGCTGATGGTTAGGTCTCAGAAGCTCCTGTGCCTTTCTCCTTGTGTCTCACAAAAATAATAAGGTAGAGGAAGAAGCTGAAGAGTCTTGAGATTATTTTGTTTGGTTTTATTGTTACTCTGAAATCATAACCAGAGAACAGTTATCAAAACTAGCATTCTCGAGTGCCTTCCTCTCCCTCGCTCTGCTTTGCTCTTTCCCGTGAACCAGATGATTGTCCTTCCTCTTGTTACTTATCTGCCTTCCCCTGCTCCCTCCTCCAAGTGAGAAGAGAATCTGGGTGCAAATGAAACAGGGAAATGTAAGCCTCCAGCCAGGACAGTTAAAGGGGGAACCTAGTGTCCCTAACACTGTAAAAGTTTAATGTGTGAAGAAGGTAACTTACCTCTGGCATTCGTCTGACAAGTCCATTTTAGTAGATCTCTTCTCGTCTACACTACCCACCAAAAGACACTTGAAATCACTTCCCCTGTTAAGTGCAGAGAGCTGTGAGACATGACCTTGATCTGACCTTGATCATGACCTGCCTCCTCGTGGGCCTTGCACACTGCTCCCCTCCCTGCCTGCCACACACACGGTTCAACACGATGGAGAAGGCAAGCTGAAGGCCGCCTGGGTCCCTTCAGCAGAAGGCAGGCGGCCAGAGTCAGAAGGTAAATTAGTAACGAAGTAAAGACGGAGCTTTCTATGTAGAGGCACGTGGGGCGCTTACAACCGAACGTGTCTTCTCTTGGTCTCTGCCGCGTTCAGCACGCTGGTCCTTCCTTTGCGTTTTGTTATGCCCTTGTCACATACGGGGGAACACAAGTCCACTACATCCTGTATCTCGAACTCACCAAAAGTTTGGTGAATTAGGTTTTATTATTGTTTGTTTTCAAATAAGGAAACAGGCTCAGAAAGGAGCAATGACTTGAAGCTGTGAGTTCTCTGGTCTCAGAGCTGGGCTCTCTCCCCTGCCCACTGTACACAGCCAGGCTGAGTGATGGTGTCAGTTGGACCGGGCTGATGTTGTTCATGTTAAGCTAATTGTGAGCTTTATGAGCTTGTATGGGTGTTTTTTCCTGTTAATTTCTTCCCCTGATGGTTCTTGCTTCTCATTCTGGAATAGAAAAACCAAGGGCTTTGTAGACCATTTTCCAAACAATTGGGCAGTATTAGAGGCACCCCATGACTTGACAAAAGTCACAAATCTGACGAATGAATGTAGAAAGGGCAAGAAGTGGACCCTACTAATCAGGTGGATGGTGCTTCGCTATAAAGGGGCAGGAGGCTGCTCTGACATCAATATCTGCTTAGTGGTCAAGAACTGAACACCCACGGGAGGGAGACCACCAGCCAGGGGGCAGGAGCCGGTTTGTAGGCTCAGAGCTGGCCTAGCTGGACTCACTGGAGTATCCTGTCTGCAAAGCCTCTGCACACACCCCACCGGCTGAGTTACAAAGTAAACTGAGCAGTTTACCCCTGGAGTCTGAGTCATGCATCCACTGCAAACACAGGTGCCGTCTGCAGAAGACCACGTGCATGGGGCCGGTGAGCAGTAAACAGGTGACCACAAAGCGATAAGAAGTGCTGGGATGAGAATTTACAGCTCGAGCACAAGATGCCTGTCCTTATGGTGCAGTCAGATGACTGCAGAGGGCGAACAGCTACCATGATCACACTGGCTAGCACGGAGAGCTTCGCACACGTGTGCTTGGTGTTTGTGTACGTTGCCCCTGCTGAGCCCCTGCTCCAAACTCTCTTGGAAGACAGATCTCATCTCCATTAGAGATGAGGAAACACAGGCCCAGAGAAAGATGAGAAGCTTCGCCTCTTACAGCCCTGGTTCCTTCCAGAATCACCGGCACCACCGCAGCGGCGGCACCCAGTGTTGTTGCTCCCCAGCCCCGACCTCCTCCCCTCGCTCCAGCAGCAGTGACTTGGGGGGCACCCAGAGTGGCTGGCTATCAACATCCGCAGCGGACCCAAAGATGAGCGGTGTATATATTTTTATTGATTTCAGAGAGGAATGGAGAGGGAGAGACAGAAACATTAATGGGAGAGAATCCCCGATTGGCTGCCTCCCGCACGGCCCCAACTGGGGACCGAGCCTGCAACCCGGGGAATGTGCCCTGACAGGGAATTGAACCGTGACCTCCTGGTTCATAGGTCGACTCAACCCCTGAGCCACGCTGGCCGGCAAGATGCGAAGTATTTGGATGAATATTCAAGAGTCAGGGTTACCTGTGAAGTGGGTGGAACTGAACAGGGAGCGCGAAGCTCACCGCTGACGCCCTGATCAGTCCCACAGGCGGCCTGGGGGCCCCGCCCAACACGGTCCCCAGCACCCGGCGGTCCTAGTCGTGCCCCCAGAGCCCGGCGGGTCCAGGCTCTGAGTCTGGGAGGAGAGTGACACGCGACAGTCTTTTGGAAACTCCAGCCCTGCGGCTCTCGGTGGGCAGAGCAGGGCCGGGCGGAGGGGCCAGGCTTCTCCACGTCAGGGCCCAGAGCCGGGCTCACGAGGAGCAGGAACTGCAGACCCGACTGTGGAAAGACGGGGCAACCGCCAGCGAGGGGCTGGAAGTCCTGGGGGGGCCCACGTGCTCCGCCTTCGTCCGGCTCCAACCCCATTGGCTGAAGCTAGACAGAGCGGCGACTCCCAGACAAGTGCAATCCCCGCCCTCCACCCTCATTGGCCGGCTCGGCTGGAGGATGACAAACCCCGCCCCTCCTATACATTGGATAGCTCTGTCCTAGGGGCGGTTCCAGCGCGTTCCGCCTACCGAATCTTTGCTTCCATTGGTCTGCTCTGATCTGTAGGGCGGATCCCAACGGTGACGCTACCGTGTCTTGCGTCCCCATTGGCTGCTCCCACACCCACACCCGCTGCCGCCCAGGGCCTCCCAGACAGGCCCGTTGGCCGGCTTTGCCGGGAGAGCCGGTGTCTGCACCAGGACCTGCCGGCGTTGGCCGCGGAC